TTATTCATCCTGGAGAAGTAGGACTATGGGTAGTATTGTTCACTTGTGAGAGAATTTGACCCACTTATCATTTCTATGATGCAATTTCATTGAAAAACAAGCACCTCAAAAGTTAAGTGGTCTGAGTATGAGATAAGATTCCTTGGTAGGAAGCAACATCATCACTAATTAAGGTAGTTGATTACAGCACAAACTGTCTTGTCAAAAGTAAAATTTGTCTCAATCTTACACAATCCACGGATAAATCATACTACAGGGGAACTATCTTTACCAACCACACTTCCAATACCACTCTTGAGTAATCACAATAACTATCTAAACAGGTTTCAAAAAATATTTGAGAGTGATTTTATTAATCACATAAACATGCTATTTATAACCTTACAAGGCATTAGGTTATAGACCTGAACGATTAAAAGAGTGATGATATATACAAATATATGACAAATTAAATAGTATATTCTATATGAGAATATCTATCCTTTTACCTATCCCAAGCTATGTAGGGGCTAACATAGAGGTTAGACTTCAAGTGATTAAACCGTACAGAAGAAAGTTCCTTGATGAAAGTGTCGGCCAATTGATATTGATCGACAATATACCGTGTTACTAACTGTCATATCTGTACCTTTTCTTGAACAAAGTAAAATGTCCAGTTCAATATGCTTAGAACAAGCATGATTGACCTGATAAGAAGTCATATAAGCAGTGCTAACATTGTCACAGAATAAGGTAGGAGGTTCAGGTGAAGTAAAATGAAACTTCTGGAGCATGTTTTATAACTAGGATATGTGAACAACTATAGTGGCAACAACACGATATTCAATTTCAACACTGAAATGAGAAACCCTGACCTACTTTTGGAACATCAAGAGATCAAATTGGTGTAAAAAAATGCAGTACTCTGTGATAGACCTAGGGGGTGTCAGGGAATCCTGCCCATTTGCATCCAAGTATCATACTAAACATGTAGGGAAATCAAAGTACAGTCAGAGGTCCTCATATATAGTATCTCATATGTACTATATGCTTTACAACATGAAATAGGTCCTCATGAGGTTCATGCATGTATTGGCAAGCTTGATTGATAGCAAATGAGATCTCGAAGTGAGTTAGAGCAAGAAATTACAAAGTTCCAAGAGTGCTGCAATATGAAGTAACATTTAAAAGCAAGAAACTAGAGCCTTTATCAATGTGACCAAAGGTTTCGATAGGAGTAGCTAGGGGCTTATAGTCCTCAATACCATGTAGATTAAATAAATCTATAGCATATTTCTTTTGTCAAGAAAGAATCCTCCTTATTGTGAGAAACTTGGGCATCCTGATCTTCTTTCCAAGGTGTCCAAGTCCATCTTCTTGAAAGTCTATGTGTGTAACTTGTTGGGCCTCTTGGGAACTTGAATTTGGGCCGACATCCATGTTTTTCTCGCTCGTGGGTGTAGCTTTCGTCTCTGCAGGAATCTCACTCTCGCGGGTTTCTTCACGGCCTCTGTTTCCGCGGGCTGCTTGTTTGTGCGCTTGCTTGCTGGTTGCATGTCCTGCGTCCTGGGATTCGTCCATGTGGCTATGCTTGCGGGAAGGGTCTCAGGTGCCCGGGAAGTCCTCTCAACTGCCTTGGCTCACATCAGCAAGTAAATCCTTCTCATATTAACAAGCCCCTAGTTATTCTTGTAGCGACCCTTGTGATATAAGGAATTGACTAGTTCTTTGCATCAGTACAGTACCAATCCTTACTCAACAAGCGTCTGCCTCAAGGATAAATGGCTTGGAAAAATCCGGCAGCCTCAACATTGGTGCACTAGACATTGTTTCCTTTAATATTTCTAAATTCTTCATTGCTTCTTTTGTTTATTTGAACCCATCTTTTCTCAGCATGTTTGTCAAAGGTTTACTAATTGTTCCATAGTTGTGAATGAACTTTTTATAATAATCAGTGAGCTCTAAAATCCCCCAGAGACCCTTAATGATAGTTAGAAGAGGGCATGCTAGCATTACTTTGATTTTTCCAAGGTATATCTTAACCTCTTGTTTAGAGATGAGATGCCCTAAGTACTCAATTTCCTTTTGAGCAAAGCAGAACTTGGATTATTTGGCAAACAATATTTGTTGCATGAGTAGGGTTGTCACCAATCCCAGGTACTTTTTGTGCTGATCCGGGTAAGTACTGTGCACCAGAATGTCATCATAGAAAACCAATACAAATTTTCTCAAGTAATTTCCAATAGTTGGTTCATGAGAGATTGAAAGGTGGCAAGAGCATTGGTCAAACCAAATGGCATAACTTTGAACTCATAGTAATGAGTTCAAAATGTCGTATTGTAGATGTCTTCCTCCTTCATTCATATAACTTGACCTTAAATCGATTTTTGAGAAGACTGCAGCCCCACGGAGTTCATCTAGGAGACCATCTATGATAGGATTGGAAATTTATCCTTGATCCTGATCTTGTTGAGTTCCTTATAATTCACAAAAATCTTCAAGATTCCTCAAAGACATCACTGAATACTTGTAAAACTTACTCTATTTGTTGGCCATCCTCTTGCAAAATTCTTTGACTCTAGGTTGAGTCAGATTCTATAGATCATGGACAGTAAACTGTCCCGGTACTATGCTTGCCTCCAACGTTCATCATCTTATTGAATTTTTCTTCAGACAAATTGGTCAACTTATCTGGAATCTTTACTCCATTTAGTGTTATCAGTTTCTCCTCCATCTGGAAACTCAACTTGGGTTCAGCAAAATAAAAAACTATGAGGTTGTATAATCTCATCCAATCCACCACCAAGATCATATCACAGCTCTCCAACTGAATGACTCTGAAATTGTAGCAAAATACATGGTTTTGCATCTTCCATTGGACTTCCATAAATTCTCCTTTACTAGCCTCCTTTGGACCATTCGCCACTACCACCGTGAGGGGTCTGTGGTGCACTACTTCATTTTGTGATCATAACACCATAGAGGATTCTAAAAATTAAATGTGAACTACCACTGTTTAAGAGAGTCATGATGAGTTTTTTGTTGAGTAGTCCTCGGATTCATTTTGTAATACTTTATTTTGTAATACTTTATTTTGTAATAATTCAAGGAATAATAAGAGAGTTTTTTTATCTCCATTTATTAAGAGATGAATCAGTCGTTTTTGGCTTCTTTAGTCTCCAGTGATGTAGTCTTGCAATTCTTGAGCCTGAATAATAGCCGAAAAGATCCCAACCAAAACCAGGTAATTTGTTCCATTCAAGTTAATTAGACTAATTTGGGCAGAAGGATCATCACTGAATAACCAAATTATTCAACCATCACCTTGTTCATCAGTGGCTATTGCCTTGTCCTCCTTAGACATGTCCCAATTATAAGATTACAAACTAGAAAAGAAATATGGAGGCACTGGCGGTGTTTTGCAATTTATAACCCTAGGGGATCCTGCTAAAAGAAACTAGGGATCTTGCTCTAATTCCATGGAGATTTTTAGGAATCAGAACAATTGCTCAAGAAGGTTGCATTCGGCCTATACCTATGAGACTATATGTAAATTCATAATGCTGTACAAGGATTTATACAAATAGCTCTACATATATAACCTTTTCCTTGTCAACTCTAATTAATACCAAAGATTACATTTATAAATTTTACAACTGAGCTAATTTACAGCTGCCAATATAACTCCTAAAATTTGGTCATTTTGCGACTTTCAAAAAGTTCCTTTCATTTTTTCTTTTGTGTTTATGTAGGTGGGTGCTTCTATATAAGTGGGTGGTTACTCATTTGCCTTGTAACTGATGATGCAAATTCTTTGGGATGAGAATGAAAGCCAAGCAGAAAGTTATCGTGACAGTTACAGTTTCTTACTAAAACCTCTGGGGTGTTGGTTCTCTTTGATAAGCCCCTGTTCATTGTCATAATAGGTAAGAAAGGTAGAGAGGCTTCTAAGTTCGCTAATTGTCTCCTGACTGTTCTGTATATAGCCATATCTAGATCTCTAACTCAGGACAATAACAATATAACCATAGCATCCTTTTTTTTTAAAAAAAAATAATAATAGAGCAGGACTAGAGTTTTCAACTTTTGCTGTCAAATATAATTTATTACTGTAATTTACATTTTTTGGATTTGTTTAGTTTTTACAAGGTGGTATTTATTTGGGTTATGTGTGCTTATTAAGCTCCATTATATTCTCGTGTACAAATTACGCGACAGCATACCATGCCTGAACATTTGACTTTGAGTTAATGTGCAGAGCTTTTCTCTATGCCTTTATCTGTCATCCTTGAAATTAAGCAATTTGTTAGATATTCTTTCATTTACTTATATTTCCAGCAAAGATGAGTCTCATTTCTTAGGAACAACTTATGCATAAGAAAGAGCTCGTATCTGGGATGAGTTTGTTAAAAAGAAATAATTCTGTTACAAATTAAGACTTACCCATTATATATCGAGAGCATAGCTGCATTCCATTTTAAACCATGCTTATAATCTTTAGGATGTGTTATAATGATAAAGATGGCTGCATCCGTGCTTCTCACTTCTAGGTTTTCTTTCCTGCTTCTCTTAATTTCTCAATTTATAGGTTGGCCAAGATGTGGTAGTAAAATTGAATGCAGCCATGGAAAGGAAAGGCCTTGATAT